CTAAATTGCTCATAGTGTCCAGGGATGTGTAGGTTAGGTGGATTGGCCGTATTTATGGGGATAGGGTAGGGAGGTAGTTCCGGGGGGGTGGGGGGGAGGGGTTGCTCTTCAGAGGGTCAGTGCCGACTCGATGGTCCAAATGGCCTGCTTCCACCCTGTAGGGATTCTATTATTATGCAGGGGAAGCAGTTGAGATTGCAGCCATAGCCCTGTAATTCCTGTGGTAACATTCATGTACGTGCATGTTAAAATTAAGGTTCACTTGTGTTAGTTTCTATCACCCACAGAGCCTCCTTCCGATGCATTTAAAAGTGGAGAGGAGATATATCCTATTTTCCACATAAAATAAAAGCAAAGTATTGTAGAAACAGAAACAAAAACTTCTGGAGAAAGTCAACGGGTTTGGCAGCATGTCTGAAAAGAAAAGTTAATGTTTCAAGTTTGATGTGGGTTCCGAAGAAAAGTTATACTGGACTTGAAATTTGAATGCTGTTTCTCTCCCTGTAGATACTGCCAGACTTGTTGAGCTTCTCCAGTACTTTTCAGTTTTAATTCCCTACCCTGTCTATCTTCAATTGAATTCCTCACTATTTATGCATTGATATGAGTAGCCCAATTTTTCAGGTTTTAAGGGACATTTCTGAGAGGCTAAACGGAATAAGATGCAGGATAATGCAGACTAGTCCAAGATTACAAATTTCATTTGAATTCTTTATGGGTGTGAAAGCACTGTTTGAGAAATCAAGTTTTAGGATTAAAAACAATAATCCAGGCATCACCAAGTTTAAAATGAGTAGTCAGTAAATTAAACAAACAAACATTGTGACAGAAGGAAAGATGAAAGAAGGTTATGCAATCTATAGTCTTGCTAAAGCTTCTTAGGAAATGACAGCATCTGTGGAAGGAAAGAAACATTTCGGCACTGTGAACTTCATCAGAATGGAAAGCTAGAGACCTGACACATTAACTCTATTTCTCTCTCCACAGGCACTGCCAGACCTGTTGAGTATTTCCAGTCTTTTCAGTTTTCATTTTGGATCACCTTCATCCACCATATTTTGTTTTGAGATTAGTAACTGGTGTGGAATATAGGCGAGAAGAGAACCAGTGTGTCAGATTGTGAAAATGAAAAGGTCAAGTAGTACTGAGCAGAAAGACAAAAGCACAATATTGGCAGATAGCTTGGTTTTAATTCAGTTTTCAATGGGTGGTGGTGTGCCAATGGGTGGCATGTTGGTGGGAAATACTGGAAAAAAATCACACAGTGGAAATTACCCATTAAGACCAAGTCGTCAGCAATGTCTTGTGGATGGTCACTTGAATGGCAAGCGGAGGGGCAGGAGCAGTGGCTTAGTGGAGATATCTAAGCTTCCTTTTTGAGCCTGAATGTGTACTCTTCTGTCATTTTCTGACTGCACGAAAGAATTTAATGACAAAACCTCTCTATGTAGTTTTGATCTGATAGAAATGCTTGACAGGAAACTCATTCCAGCTTCTCCTGCAGGCTGCTGAACTCTATGGCTCATTTTCAGCCTGGTCAAAATCCACCTCCTGGCAAAAGATTGCAATCAGGCCCAAAGTTGCAACTATTCTCAATAATATATTCGCTAAAGCTGGGATTGTAAGTTGTCCTGGTGCTGGAATTAGAATCTGCAATAAGTGAAAAGCGTGTTCTGGTATCTGAACAGTACTTACCCTCCAAAGGTTTAGGATGCATCAGGCAAAAGGGAATTTCGACAGACACCTCACTAAAATACAATAGAAAAAGAGTCACATAAAAGAGGAAAACATAATTATAATCAGAATGCTTAACCAGTGAAAAATATCAACTGACCAGAAAATTTACTGGATAAGCCACTTAAATACTTTGTTTACAAAAGCAGGTCAGAAGCTTGGAATTCTACAGAGAATAAGTCACTTCCTGACTCAGCAATGCTTGTCCACCATCAGAGCCACAATTCTGGAGTGTAATGAAATACCATCTACTTGTCTGGGTGAGTCAAGCTACATGAACACACAAGAAATTTGACACCATCTAAGACAAAACAACACACTTCATTAATACCCCAATCACCATCTTGAACATTCACTTCCTCCATCATTCATGAGGAATGATAGCACAGTGTATCATCTAGATGTATCTGCTGCCAAACCTGCAGTGTTTAACACCTAGAAGGACAAGGACAGCAGACGCATGGGAACACCACCAGTTGCAAGTGTCTTTCCAAGCCACACATCATTCTAACTTGGAAATATGTCACTATTCATTCGCTGTGCAAAATCCCGGAATGCTCTTCCCAACAGCACTGCAGGTGTACCTGCAGGAGATGGATTGTAGCAGTTCAAGAAGATAGCTCACCATCTCAAGATCAAGGGCAACATGGTCAGTCTACCAATGATATTCACATCTCTTGAACAATCAAAGATAAAACCCAGCAGTATATTCAGGAGCGACATTGTTCCCACGGTCAGGATTGTTGAGTATTGATAGCTGATGCTTCCTCACTTACCTTGAAGTGAGGTCTCCCAAGATCCTGAAGGAAAAAATAAAGTGAGAAAAAGAAGGAGAAATAAGGAAACAAACACAACAAGATTGGTAAATAAACATAAGAAACAGAAATAAGCCTTGAAATATCATCCAGATACTACCCATTTAAGTACACTACTTGGGTTACTTCACTATGAGCGGAGAGTGTGTGCCCATTTTCAGTTGGAAACATATCACTCACATTAAAAATGAACAAGAGATATGAAGCAGGCATTAGGTGTTTTGCATGTTTGAGTAAGAGGCCACTGTTTAGTTCTGACAAAGGGTTCTTTGAACTGTATTTGCTTTATCTCACCATATCAAACTTAACCTTTTAACCCTTTCCCCTTCATCTGCTTGTCCTTAAATGTCAGTGAAGATTCTATCTAAAGAGACTAGGAAGAGTGGGGCAGGTGAGGGGGCAGCAGTGGGTGGTGAGAGCGGGGCCGGTGAGGGGGCAGCGGTGGGCGGGAAGGGGGGGGGTGGGGGGGCGGCAGTGGGCGGTGAGAGCGGGGCTGGTGAGGGGGCAGTGGGCGGTGAGAGTGGGGCCGGTGAGGGGGCAGCGGTATCCTAGTGATTGGAGCGGCGCCTGCACCAATGTGGAGATGGGACTGGGGACTCTGAAATCTGGACTTTTCTTCTTATCTTGCTTATCATTTGGCTGTTAAATCTTTTAATTCTTGTTTCTGGTTCTGTTTCTTGTTTCTGTAACAAGGCGGGTGCCAGTGAATGGTGACTTTGTGCATTTTTTGCTGTATTTTGCTATGTATTCCTGTACTTAGTACATGTGACAAATAAATAAATCTAAATCTAAATCTAAATCTGCCAGTCACAGATAGGCCTAACTAGCCACCAGTGTGCCTGCAAGCAATGAATACAACCTTACTAAACCTTCACAGATGAACAAATACAAAGAAAACACAATTCTCCATAATATTAAGATTGAAGAATGTTCACAGAAACCTTCATCTCCCCAGTTGAATAGTTTGAATGTCCAAAACACACAATTATATTAAGGAGACATAAATATTACACTTGACTTTCGCTCTTTGTTGCTATGTGCTCTCTTTACCTGGTTTTAATTTGTCCTCTTCACATTCAAGTGCTTTCACTTAACTTTCTTTTACCAGCTTCTCTACTGCTGCTGCTGCCCACATATGAGATGAGTCTATACTGCTCGAAAGACAAATTTAAAGGATATCTTGATTCTAACGGAATACCCAAATAGTAACATGTTGTCCTTAGGTGATTGGAGGGATCAGTGGAATCAACATCCATGGGGTAAGAAAGGTCACCGTCATTCAGAAACTCAACTACACCCATTGGCTGTTAGTGTCCGAGGTTGAGTATTCTGTACTAAGTGAAGCTTATCCCTCACATACAAGGCTTAAGTTAGGGATGTGACTAATTCTCCACATTCCTGAAGAATGCTGCTCTATTAGTCAGAGGCTCAAATCTATCCAGAACAAAGTAGCTGGCTTAATTCAGCATTGTGAACAACCATTGCTCCATTTTCACTACTGCAGCATGTACCATCTAAAATGTAAACTTTAGAAAAGGCTTCTTTGATAGCACATCTCAAACCAACACCTCTACCATTAAAGACAGGGCAGCAGGCACATGAAAACATGGTCACCTTCAAGTCATTTATAATTCTGACCAAGATCCCATCAAATTTTGTTTTTAATGTGTGTATCCTATTTATTTAAACATGTGGGACCCTTAGAATATTTTGCGCACAACAACTTACGTACAATCGATGTGGAATCTTTCTGGATTGTCGATTTGCTGTGCACCCGCACATCTCAAAGGGAACAATGGTCCTGCTAACATCCCTTCTCATATTTCTTGTAGTCTAATAATTTCAGTGTTTGGGCCCTTTTTTTGTGAGATGTATGCTAACATGTGCTCACCCTGACCAGGAATCTCTGGGTGCTGAGTGGCTAAGAAAGAACATTATTTCTGGCTTGAAACGTAACGCCATTCATTAACTAGCCCTAAAATAAACCTAGGTTAGTGGAATGTGTATCCACAATGAAGGTGTGCAGGTAAAATTGGCCAAATAGAAGCTGGGTATAACTATCTTAGTTGCTTGATTGGAGATCAGGGGAATTGTTGTTTGCACACATCAGACCGTTGGGTGACTAAAACACAAGAGGTTTTTGGCACCAAATAATAAATTAATTGGCTTTTTGTACAGCCTGGAGTGCTCTTATTAAGAGTCTTTGGGAAATTGAAAGTTGATATCAGTCATTTTAACTTTCAAGGGACTGAGACGCTGGGCTTTTTTTTTTAAAAAGTTCAGTTCTGCAGTTACCTTGAACACACTTCACTTGTCTGTTTACATTTCTACCCAAATTCTTCACGGGCTAATAAATGTGACTCTATTATCACACAGGCTTTGTTCAGTGCTAGCACCATTCTTGTCCCGGTATCTAGTGTATCCCATTTTCTTCTTAACAAAGAGATCCTCGATTTCCTTCTCCTCCTCAAAATCCCTCTAGAAAACCCGCGATTAATTAATGTCAACCCGCCTAATTTCTCCATCTCTGGCACTAGTTTTCCCCAAGCCTCCATGAAACAGATTAGGTTACCTATATTAAAGGCATGATATAAATAGTTGATACTGAAAACTTGTTAAATATGATGACAGGATTATAATTAAACAATCTGCAGTAACAATCTGCTCTATGGCCCAATGTTACTTACCTGAAACCAAATGGCATTCACTATTTTACTGAGGACAAACAAGGGCAATATCCACAAAGCACTGAAAGTGGAGTTCAAGATAAATTCTAGCCAGGACCAGACATCTCCATGCAATGAGGGGTCACCTGCACAGGCAAAAACACTACTTCACAAAAACAGCCAAAGATCAACAATGTCTCAGAATAGAAACTAACAAATTTTCTATTAATAGCAAATGTTACATGATGCAATGGTTTGTTGTTGCTTGACTTACATAAGGCAAGAAAACGCAAGTACTCAAATAATATGGAACACAGAAAGGAGTCAAAGAGGAGACCACTTCCTAAAACAAACTACGCAACATTAAAATAAGGAAAGGAGAAGCACTCAGTCCCAGGAAGAACCAAGAGCATGGATGCAAGGTATGCAGGTAAGCAGAAGACCTGCGCAATAAATAATGGGAAAGATCTTCTGAGGAACGGTGGTCTGGGTCATTTAGGAGAATGTTTTTCTTGAAATTTGGAGTGTAGAATTCCTCGAAGAACTCTCTTATAGCACTGTAGAGTCAGGGAAGGTGGGCCACTCCTTCTTTATTCAGCACTAGTCACCGTGTGGTAAGCTAAACATCCATCGTGAACGTTAGTGAATGGAAAGAATGATAAAGTGAACGTGGTAGGAAGTGGGCCTGGGGTATGTGGGTCAAGGGTTTAACAGAAGATTAAACAGAGTCGAGTGGTTAGAGGGTCAGGTGGGGCTTCAGGGAATGAGATTGGTAGATGATTATGAGGGAAGTCAGGTTGGGTGGTTGGCGAGTCAGGGGTGTAACAACTTAAGGAGTTAGTCAGCGCTTAGGTATAACTAGTGTGTTGTGGAGGTGTACTGTGGTAGTTGGTGGTGGGGGGGAGCGCAGGGCAGTCGTGGCAGTGTCATGGAGGTGATTCTGGGGTATCAGGGAGGTAATTGGTTTATCATGGTGGGGTGGTCAGGACGAAGGTTGGATTTAGTTGGGCTGTAATGGGGAGTTGTTATGGAGTAGTCAGGGCTCAGGGGTGCATTCAGGAAGCCTGGAGGTAGTTGTGGTGTTTGGGGGCTGGCTTCCCTGTTGCACACGGAAGCTGTAATCAAGTTCAGAGTCTCCAACCAAACTACACAGATATTGAGAAATAGGCATTTTCCATTGCTTTATGTAGCGTGAAAGTTTCTCCCAACATCATCTTTACAAAAATACACCCAACCTACTTAAGTTCAATTAGTCAGGGCAATTCTACTCCCCAAACTGTGCAGCAATGTTGCATTTAGTTCCTCCGAAACAGCACCATGACAGAAAAACCACAACACACAGAGCAACCACCTATATTAGTGTAGGTAATTCAGCATGGACTCGATGGGCTGAAGGGTCCCTTTTACACTTTATGGCTCCATGTTTGCCTGAATAGTACCATGCTTTCTGCTAACTTCCAGCAATGATCAGAAAAGGTAGACAAGTTGTGCAACTTGTAACCCATGCTGCACCTGATCCTTTCCACAGCAATTTCAGTGTTCATGGTACAATTTCAAGTGGGTTACTGTTACTGTTAATACCATTGTTTAAAATTAATTTGTGCGACATGGGCTTTGCTAGCAAGCCAGCATTTATTGCCCATTCCTGGTTGCCCTGCAGAAGGTTGTGGTGAGCTGTTTTCTTGAACCATTGCAGTCCATGTTCTGTAAGTTGACCCACAATGCCATTAGGGAGGGAATTCCACGATTTTGACTAGGCGACAGTGCAGGAACGATGATATATTTCCATGTCAGGATGGAGAGTGACTTAGAGGGGAACTTGCAGGTGGTGCTGTTCCCATGTATCTACTGCCTTCAACCCTCTAGACGGACAGGAGCTGTCTAAGAATCTTGGGTGAACTTCTGCACATCTTATAGATAGTAACCATTACTGCTAATCAGTGTCAGTGAAGGAGGGAGTGAATGTTTGTGGATGTGGCGCTAATCAAGTGGCTGCTTTATCGTAAATAGTGTCAAACTTGTTGAATGTTGTTGGAGCTGCACCCAACCACCAGGCAAGTGGGGAGTATTCCCTAAAATTCCTCACTTATGCCTTGTAGATGGTTTGGGGGTGGGGGTGGGGGCACGTGGGGGGAAGGGGGGAGTCAGGAGATGAGTTACTCGTCGCAGTATTCCTAGCCTCTGACCTGCTCTTGTAGCCACTGTGATTATGCCGCAAGTTGAGTTTCTGGTCAATGGTAACCCTAACAGTGTTGATAGTGGAGGATTCAGTGGTGGTGACACCATTGAAGGCTAAGAGATGGTGATTAGATTGTCTCATCCGTTGGAGATGGTCATTGCCTTGCATTTGTGTGGTGTGAGTGTTACTTGCCACTTTTCAGCCCAAGCCTGGATATTGTCCAGATCTTGTTCCATTTGAAATGGACTGCAGTTGAAGATGCTGTAGGAGCAGCGCTCTAAAAGCTTGTGATTTTAAATAAACCTGTTGGACTCTACCCTGGTGTCGTGTGACTTCTGTCTTGGTCCAAGATAATTCATCTAAAAGGCTATTCTTCACTTGTGGACCTATCTTAGTGCTAGCAGAGTAGTTTGGCTGTGGAGACTTGAAGGATCCTGTCTTCACTTGACACCCATGTTCATACACCAATATCCTTATGTTGAATTAAGCAGCAAAAGACTTTCAGACATTTACAAATGTTTTATTGTAAATCTGTAAATCGTAAATATTTTTGCAAATAGTTTTGTTCAAACATCACTTTCCATCTTTTCCTTCAGAACCCCTTGTATGTTCAGAAGTGAACCTCCATTAGGGGAAGAATGCTTTTTTAAAGTCGCTGTACCTTCTCACCTACACAAATATACATGTGTAATTTGTTCATGAAGGCATGAACCAAACAGCTGTCTGAAGATATAGGTAGATGAGACCAGGAAAGGACATTCTGGCTATGGAGGGAGTGCAATCAGTTTACCAGACTGATTCTGGGGTTGGCAGGACTGACAGACGAAGAGAGACTGGATCAATTAAGAATATATTCATCAGAATTTAGAATAATGAGGGTGGAATCTCATAGTACCCTATAAAACTTTAACAGGGTATAAATACATAAAGGATTTTTTGATAACCAAAAGTCCAGAACCAAGGATCACATACTCAGGATAAGTGGGTAGAATATTCACAACTGAGATGAAGAGCAATGTCTTCACCCAGACAGTGGTGAGCCTGTAGAATTCTCTGCCACAAAAAGAGATTGAGGCCAAAATATTGAATGTTTTGAAGATGACTTAGATATAGTTTTTAAGGCTAAAAGGATCAAAGGATTTGGGGAGAAAGTGGGAACTGGGCAGGGAGTTGGATGATCAGCCATGAACATTTTGAATGGTAGAGCAGGTTCGTGGGACTGAATGGCCTGATCCTGCTCCTACTCTCTATTCCAGAATTTAATTGAATTCAGATTTCACCATCTTGCATGCTGGTAATTTCAACTCATCCCACCTAACCTGTATAGTCAATTCCACTCTACTTGGTCTATTTATAGAACTACTAACCAGGGAAATTTGTTGGAATTTGTTCCTTTTGGGCTACTGGTCCCAGATATATCAAATACATTCACAACCCTTTCTTCTCTCTTGCAGTAATAGTTTTCTTACCAATTATATTTGCAGTGATAGCTTGAAGCAGAGGGATAAAAACTCGGTAGAAGACCAGGATACTCAGCTGTGTGGACAAAAGGAAAAACATTTGTTGCTGAAAACAGTATAACAGCATCTTTTCTCAAATACTCATGGTAATTAAACGTACAGTACTTAAGATTCTACTGCTCATTGTTTCACTCTTGATAAAAGAAAAGTATACCATGTATTCACCCAACTTTAAAATGTGGGTTTTCTTGGGTCCAACAAAGATGACAACCATGCAGGTACCTTGCACAGGGGCTGGTCTACAAGTGTGATACAGGACAAGTATCAGCAGGCTATCTGTGGGGGACATCATAAGCAATGCTTATTCCCAACCTAACTCACGTCCAATCGGAAGAATTGCCCAAGTTACCCTTTCAGCTGACGGTGATACATTCAAATGCTCAACTTCTATTCTGGCTGAAACTGTCCAATTCTGAAAAGTATTGTGGAGCCTGATGTGGGAGTTTTCTGCTCCATAAGATGCAGGGTCACATCATATAGTGTATTTACACAAGATGCTATCAGAATAACTATGCAGAGAACGATGACATACAGAAAGGGGTCCAAAACATGATACTCAAATGATACCATATGAAACCAAAATTTTATACATTAATATGAAAACTCTCAATCTATTATAGGCTGCAGAATCATCCTGGGCCAAGCACACTAATCTATTATTCTTCACATGTACGTAAAGAGAAATGTTTTGCTGGACAAATAATTACTAACAGTTTTGCTTGATAAACTGCATTATTTACGGTGCATTGCATATTACTACTGAGCCTGATTCTGATACTTTTCCAGATAGATTTAGCACAATTTCATGCTCTGTTCAGATTTTACAATCTCAGGGCAGTAGTCTAAGAAAACTTGACAGTCAATTTGTGACCAGCAAATGACAAAATGTCTAATTAATCTGTTTCAGAGTTAGGAGTTAAATATTGGCTAGGACACCAGGAAAATTCCCCTCCTCTCTTCAAAGAAAAGTGCAAGGATTTTCTATCCGCCTGACAAAGCAGACAGGACCTTGATTTCATAGCTCATCTAAAGACATAAGCTCTGACATTTCAGAACTTCACTGGCATTAGAGTGAAGCTGGTCTAGAGATTGTGCTTAAATCAATGGACTAAGACTGGAATCTTCAATTTGCTTTTTCTGAGATGAAGGCAGTATCAGAGAGCCAAGGCTTGGAAAGGAGAAGACCCTGGGTGAGGAGAGAAGCTGGATAATTTCATTAACAGAGGTGATGGCTGGTTTTGTTCAGTGGACTGTGCATGGAATGCAGTATCTGGATTGGAGGCCACAACGTTTTATGTTTTTAGTTTTGCAAAGACATTTCTAATTAAGTTTCTCCCCTTTTCCCTGGAAATCTAATGTGTCTCCTTCGCCACTCTGCTCTGATCCCAATGCAGGTTACAGGACAGATATACTGACTGGTCTTAGTGCAGCACAATAACACCCCTAGTCAGTCGGAGCTGCCGAGAAACTTGTAGAAACTCTAACTTCCACTTAAAACTCCCACCCTTGGTCAGTGATGCAGCACAATGCATCTATTTAAAATGGGCCTTGCACCCATCCTTATTTTATGACGTTAAAAAGCAGAATCCTGTTCACAAAGTCCTTGCCAGAATGATACAGCTACTTTTAGGTCAGTATCCTGATTTCTGGATAGGCAGAATTTGCCAAGCTGATACTCTTGCCCAGAGCAACTACAACAGCATACCACCCCCACTTTGCAATAAATTAGGGAGGGCAAGCAAGACGATGGGTCAATCCTGTCACAGAATGTATAATCAAAGGAACCACGGTCTGAGTCACAAGGCTTCACCCTCTTTTGGATTCTGGATCTGCAGTAACGACAGGAATGGAGAGGAGACCAGGAAAGGGGGCTTCGAGGGTCTCTCACTCTTGCCTGACAACTGTGCTGTGGAATCCATACAGCAACAGTGAAGTGAGCTCTCTCAAGAATGGAAGGTAAAGGACCATTACTTCAACCAAACTGGTGTGGATAAAATAAAATAAAAAATGCTAAATACACATAGCAGTCAGGTAACATCCACAGCAGGGAATGGAGTCAATACTGCAGTATTTCCAGCAGTTGCAGTATTTTGTGTTTATACCCGGGCATGGATGTGGCCAATGACATCAACCTAGAAGCTATGTACCAGGAGGATCCAGAACCTCAGGAGGACATGGCAGGTGACTGGTGTGATATTTTCAGGTGCAAAGCCACAGCCTCTGATGTATCCGGTGTTCTCCTGCACAGCGGACAATACATTTTCTAGCTCCACCCATCCCTCTCTTTGTGGGTACATCCTCTCCTGAACAAGTAACACACATTCACCTTCTGTCCTTTGCCCCCTCACACTCAGGCATCACAGCCACCCTCCACAAATGGCCTTCTCCCTTCTCTCAGATGTTGCTACAAATATAAATACATACCTCTCTTTGCAGACAAGGCTGCACAAACTTGAGGAGAGGTAGAGTCTCAGTGGAGAGGGTGAACAGAAGTGGCCTTCAAATAACAGCAATCCTGTATGTCATTGCCAACTCATGGTCACCTGCTCTACTGGGCATGTAGTCTTGTTTCAGGAGACTGCAAATGTCAGCACCTTGAACCTCCTGAAGCACAGATGCTCCGATACATTAAAAGACTGATCTACTGCATGTAGCTGCCATATCAGTATGGGGAATGGGGTAGGGGCTAGGGAGCTTGCTGCTAGTGTCCATCTCATCTGTCCTACGGAGGAGCATGCAGCTGGTGTTGTCCCTGCTAGAGGTAGTGCCGTTTCTGCTCTTGTCCCTCAGCAGAGGTTAAAGGTGAAGCTGCTCCCACACTGTGCTGAAGATTGATAGCAGGAAGTTAGTTGACAGTGCATGTATTTCTAAAAATGTAATCACAGGATGTGGGCATTGCTGGCTGAGCTAGTAATTATTATCCATCCTTCATTCTCCTTGAGGTGATGATGGTGAGCTGCTTTCTTGAACCACAGCAGTCCATGCGGTGCAGTGACACCCACAGTGCTGACAGGGAGTTTCAAAACTGTGCTGCCATGACAGTGAAGGAAAGGCAATATAGCTCTAAGTCAGGGCAATGCAAGTCTTGGGGGGTAAGCTTGTAGGTGTGGTGTCCTAAACAGGTGAAATGCCTTCAAAAAGTTGTCAGTTAACAGTCAAGCTGTGAAACCACTCTCAGAGAGTAAAGTGAGCTGAACAAGTCTCTGTCAATAGCAAGGGTGAAGCTGTTTTAAGCAACTCATCAAAAAGTCTTCCCAGCCCCTCAACTGCACTGAAGAACTTCTTCCAGGAATTTCAAGTTTAAAAAGATCCTTAATTGGTTTTCTGATCATCCTAATGGCTTCCTTGCCAGACATACAGGGGCTCCCTGTAGTCTGAACCCTCTCTAGCAAAACCTAAAGGGGCAGGGCTGAGCCTACATCAATTTCTAGGACATTCCCACCTCACACACATTGAAACCTACCACCATTTGGCTGGGAAAATTCTGCTCAAAATATCTGTTGAATGGTGATTACTGGCTGCTGTGTACCATATATTCCTTATTCATTTAGGAAATGCACGTCCCCAAAGCCAAGCAATCGCTTCCTCATTTGCTGAATTTAAGGTGATTAGTCCAGTATTTAGTCTGTAGAGGGGACACTGCCCAGGAATGTGCAGCACTGTTTGGCTCTCTTCACACATGCATAATGGGTTTATACGGAGGCTCCGGTGGAGGTGGAGGTGGTTGGCTGCACAGGGGTGCTGGCTGGTTCTGAAGCTGTTCAGCAAGGACTGCTCTTGCTATTGCATTACAATTCCTGCCATTCGACAGATGGGGCTTGTCAGAAGCAACTTTCTGTTGACCTCCTGTCTTACCCCATTTGTTGATTCAATGGATGCCTCTTGGTAGATCTCAGTCAGCAAGTTCTGAATGGAGTTCCGAAATGGAAGGTGGGCAGAATTGAACAAGTCATCATGCACTGGGCAAGTGAGGTGCAGTATGGATAGCTTCAACCAGCTTGTGGGTTTCCATTAGTCAGATGATATGTGTGGGACTGATGTTTGAAAGAACAGGAAGCCAGGGGAGGGCTATCGAGCAGAGCATTCAATTCGCATTTCCTTACTACCAACCGCGTGAGCTGAAAAACCACAGAATTTCTGGCACTTCAATATTTATTTGAAATGTTTTCAGTTTCCATTCCAGTGTAGAAAATGTTGAGAAAAAAATGGAAATGGTAGTAATTTCACTCTGGCTATCTCTGCCTCAGAGCCTGTAGAAGATCATTTTTCAACAGCCAAACTTTCATTCCTGACAATTAACCTTCAACTGACAGAAAACAAATTGACAGCAATATGACTCTGAGGTTTTAAAAGGATTTATCTTAACCATAGGGTTACATGTTACATGTTACAAATCAAGATTGCACTCCACTTAATAGGAGCAAGATCACCAGAGCTGCATTAGTATATTTTAAATGAGATCATTAGAGTGAACATATTATTGCAAAATGCTATGTTTTATAATAGTAGCGGGGGATAGGGCAGGCAACAGGGTAAGCTGCAATTATGGCTGGTTGCAGGGCAATTACAATTTGTGATTATAACGTGATCTCCAATATGGAACACAACTTTGCTCTTCAAATATAAGTTACTTGTTTGGAATTACTACAAGGCCACTTAAGGGGATAGAGGAAACTCCTTCCTCTTCTATCAGTGCGACACCCTGAACAATTACATCACAAAGATTCATTATTTGTCACTATTCATAATAAAGAAGTTGCTCAGCTGTTTTAAACTAAACTACCAGGAACTTTTTAGAAGATAAATACAGGCTCATATTGATTAAGCAGCTGTGATTTAGGTAAAATTGAGGAAGTTAACCAACAGGCAAGCTCATCTCATTCTGGAATCACCATCCTTTAGGATCAGCTAACACTAAGTAAAGAATAGCTGACTTACCCAGAAAATTCCTCCATTCCAGGCACAACACTGCACAATCCGGTGCGCTATTCGGGGCTCACTGAAAAACAATAGCAGATGCCTTTCATCAGACAGAATAGTCTGTATGTGAGGCTGACTCTTCATTCCAATAGATGGGTGCTTGTGTACATGGCCTCCATGCATGCACTTTGCACATATACAAGTGTCAACCAGTGTGGACCACGCAAATCTTACATGTTTCAGCAACAAAAAAATACTAGTTTCAGTAACCATTCATGTTTATATCATCACTTATTCCCCAAATGAAAGTCTTGTCGCATTGTAATTTCATATCCATTCCTTTCTCCTTCTATTTCTTTTAGCTAAATGCTACAACTGACTTAGTAATAAAGTATTTTGAAACAAAAACAAAAGTTGCTGGAAAAGCTCAGAAGGTCTGTCAGCAGCTGTGGAGCGAAATCAGAGTTAATATTTCAGATCCGGTGACCCTTCCTTGGCACTGATGGTAGCTAGGAAAATGTTGGTTTATATGCAGAAGATAGGAGAAAACGATAGATGGGGATAGATCCCAAAGAAAGAGAAGAACAGTTGGACAGACAATGGAGTAGATAATGATCTGGCTAGGAGGGCGAATGGCTGTTAATGGAGACTGTTAGTTGCTAACAACAAGTAGTGTGTAATGGCAGACTATGTGATAACAAGGCCTGGGTGGGGAGCTAGGACATGAGAGAGTTCAGACCCTAAAATTATTGAACTTGAGAGAGTCCGGAGGGCTACAGGATCCCCATGTAGAAAATGAGGTGCTGTTCTTCCAGCTTATGCTGAGCTTCGCTGGAACACAAGAACACAAGAACTAGGAGCAGGAGTAGGCCGTCTGGCCCTTCGAGCCTGCTCCGCCATTCAGTAAGATCACGGCTGATCCTTTCGTGGACTCAGATCCACTTACCCGCGTTCTCACCGTATTCCTTAATTCCTTTATTGTTCAAAAAAAATCCACCTTTTTTTTTAAAAGCGTTTACTGAAGTAGCGTCAACTACTTCACTGGGCAAGGAATTCCATAGATTAACAACCCTCTGGGTGAAGAAGTTCCTTCTCAATTCAGTCCTAAATCTGCTCCCTCTAATCTTGAGGCTATGCCCTCTTGTCCTATCTTCACCTGCCAGTGGAAACATCCTTTCTACTTCTATCTTATCTATTCCCTTCAGAATTTTATATGTTCCTATAAGATCCCCCCTCAATCTTCTGAATTCCAATGAATATAATCCCAATCTACTCAGTATCTCCTCATAAGCCAACCCCCTCAACTCTGGAATCAACCTAGTGAACCTCCTTTGCACCCCCTCCAGTGCCAGTACCTCCCTTCTCAAGTAAGGAGACCAAAACTGCACACAGTACTCCAGGTGTGGCCTCACCAGCACCTTGTACAGCTGCAACATAACCTCTCTGCTTTTAATCTCAATCCCTTTAGCAATGAAGGACAAAATTCCATTTGCCTTCCTCATTACTTGTTGTACCTGCAGACCTACCTTCTGTGATTCATGCACAAGGACACCCAGGTCCCTCTGCATAGCAGCATGCTGCAACTTTTTACCATTCAAGTAATAATCCTTTTTACTATTACTCCTACCAAAATGTACGACTTCACATTTATTTACATTGTATTCCATCTGCCAGACCTTTGCCCACTCACTCAGTGTATCTATGTTCCTCTGCAAAGTTTCACAGTCCTCTGCACACTTTGCTCTGCCACTCATCTTAGTGTCATCTGCAAACTTTGACACCCTACACGTGGTCCCCAACTCCAAATCATCTATAAACATTGTAAATAATTGCGATCCCAACACCGATCCCTGAGGCACACCACTAGTCACTGACTGCCAGCTAGAATAGCACTCATTTATCCCCACTCTTTGCTTCCTGTTAGTCAACCAATCCTCTATCCATGCTAATACTTTACCCTTAATGCCATGCATCCTTATCTTATGCAGTAGCCTCTTGTGCGGCACCTTGTCGAAGGCCTTTTGGAAATCTAGGTACACCACATCCACTGGGTTCCCATTGTCCACCTTGCTCGTAATGTCTTCATAGAATTCCAAAAGATTTGTCAAGCATGACCTGCCCTTCATGAACCCATGCTGCGTCTGCCCAACGGGACAATTTCTATCAAGATGCCTTGCTATTTCTTCCTTGATAATAGACTCAAGCATCTTCCCCACTACAGAGGTTAAGCTAACCGGTCTATAATTCCCCATCTTTTGTCTACTTCCCTTTTTAAACAGTGGCGTCACATTTGCTGTTTTCCAATCTGCTGGGACTGCCCCAGAGTCCAGCGAATTTTGGGAAATTACCGCCAGTGCACCTGCTATTTCTCCTGCCATCTCTTTTAGTACCCTGGGATGCATTCCATCAGGGCCAGGAGACTTATCAATCCTTAGCTCCATTAGCTTGCCCAACAACCCTTAACTCTTTTACTGCTCAAAAATCTGTCTTTAGAATTAAAGGTTATGGTGAGCAGACAAGATGCGTTCAAATAACATACAAGACACGTGTTATATGAAAGCCACTTTGTAATGATGATACAATAGGGAACTATTCCTTGAAATGATTGCAGCCTTCCATAACACCTTTACTGCCTGTTCTTAAGGTACAGCTTCCCGTAGCACATGCAATAGATTTGTTTGTTAAATCCACCTTTTCCACTATACATGTAATGCATGAATGGATTCGGAGGATGGCCTGCAGCTTTTTTGGCAGGTGTGAGGTTGCTGATGCTCAGTCACTGGCTTTCCAACTACAAAGTATGTTTCAGCACCAGGAGAGAACCCTTAGGACTATAAACAGTTTCTGTGTTTACTTTGGATATTAATTCAAATTCTAATCATGCTTTAAAAATCCTCTTGGATTTAATAACATGGCTTCAGCTGTAGCACTGGCTAATTTGGTTATTCTCAAGCAACAAATAAAGTGGATAAGAATACATTTGTTGCCAAGAGAAGATGAAATGAGAATGCCAGTTGATGTCAGGATTTTAGCCAGTGTCTCAGTTTAATATGCACTAGAATTGAGGGTACAGTTAGAATAAAAACAAAATACTATGGATGCTGGAGATCTGAAATCAAAATAGGAAGTGCTAGAGGAACTCAGCAAATCTGGTATCATCTATGGAGAGAAACAAGTTTATGTTTCGGGTCTGCCATGACACTCTGATTCAATGTTAACACCATTTGTTTTGCCACAGGTGTTGGCAGATGTGCTGAGTTTCTCCAACATTCTCTGTTTTTATTGTTGTAGGAGGAATGCTTGTTTAAGAGTAAATGAATGATGTTTTCCATATCTCCCGTTTCAGTTTCTAGTCTCTTTCCTTTAGGACCTCTTATTTCTCTGTATTCCATGCACAAAATGGTGATATTGCCATAGTAGCTTTGGAAAACTAAGTGAAATCTGAGTGAGAGGCTGATCAACAAGAGGTTACTAAGCAATATAGTGAAGGCATGATTATAAAAGCAGTCTGTAGCTATTCAATAAGTTATTGCCTTGTTCTCCCCCAATCCTGAGCTGCTTTTCACCAAGTCATTCTGACACTGTCACACTCTTGCATCACCCCATCCATCACTTCTGTTCCCTCCCATCACCCTTGCGACCCCTCCCACACTTTCACCTGAACCAAGAGCAGGCAGTTAGTGTGACTGACCTGGTGATGTTACTCTCCTCAGGTATCTGAGCTGGCTGCTAGCTCCCACAATGAGATGCTTTTGTGAAGCTGCTGTTGCTATGGTGTACAGTTGATGCTGCTATGGCGGATAGTGTTAAAACATTCCTTCTTGATGTAGTTAAGGTGAGTGTCCTTTATCATCAAAGTTTTTCTAAGATGCAAGGTGTAGAGTAAAATTTCACACCGTCAAAGCTGTGGATTTACAGATGAAATGCAGCAAAAATAAAATTCCAAATTGCAGATTTTTGCTTGGTTTGTGCAATGAAAATAAAGTTAAGAATTATGTTTGATGTACTTAGATATATATGCCACCAATATGTTACATATAATGTGACAAGATTGGTATTCCTGTATTCGGAACTCTCTGCCTTCCCCAAACTGAAGAGCTTTCTTCCCCACCTGTCCTGAAGGTGCTCACCCCTTGTAGAGTTGTGTTTCAACATTCATTGTCAACTTGTTGGTACTTAATCCAGATGGCTGATTTTAGTAGAAATTGAGTCTCTGTTCCCACCATTCACAAATGTCTTTTAGGGAGGGAAATCTGCTGTCCTTACCTGGTCTGGCCTAGTGTGATTCCAGAGCCACAGAAATGTGGTTGATTCTTAGCTGCCCTCTGAAAAGGCCTAGCAGGGGGAGATGATGACGTAGTGATATTATCATTAGTCTATTAATTCAGAAACCCGGGTAATATCCTTGGGACTTTGGTTCAAATCTCACTGTGGGAGAGCAGAATTTGAATTAGTTTCCAATTTTAAAAATCTAGAATTAAGAGTCTTAATAATGACCACGAATCCACTGTCGATTGTCAGAAAAACCTATCTGGTTCACATATGTCCTGTAGGTAAGAAAACTGCCATCCTTACCTCGTCTGGCCTACATGTGGTTGACTCTTAAACTGCCTTCTGGGTAATTACAGATGGGCAATAAATGCTGGCCTAGCCAGAGATGCCCTCATCTCGTGAATGAATTTAAAAAAGTAAGCCACTTGGTTCAAGGGCAGTTAAGGATCTGCAACAAATTCTGGCCTAGGCAATGATGCCCATAGGCCACCCAAGGAATTAAAAATATAGCAGATGAAGGCTTGTCAGCCTATCAAGCTTCTGTTGTCTTCGTTTAGATCAAGGCTGAACTGTACCGTCTGTTTACCTGATTCGTGGCTATGCAGAAAGTGGAAAATATTCTGTTTCTCTGATTGCTCTCTGCAGTCCATTACTGCACTTCATTGACTGACTATTTAGATATGTATGTAACCAACATGTTAAAATTACAGTGACATCTGACCTAGAAAGAATGTATAAGTGAAATCTAGAACATAAACAACGAGAGAGTTTCCATTAATACAGCATTGCTGGCATGCTCTGAAAGACGCAGGATGCTTTATGGCCAATTCATTACTTTGAAATATACTTGCAGTTACTTGAGTATACTTGGCAGCCAAGATATGAACAGCAAGATCCCACGTGCAGCAATT